CCCCCCCCCCCCCCCCCCCCCAAACTCAGGAGAAAGTGGCCAAGAATGAGATGAGCACGTATGTCAATCAACATCTAGATGGCTGCTGGATTTATTAGTAGTATCGACCCCCTTTTCCATGTAAACCTCAACTAAATTCGCTTTCTGTTTCTGATGCTATTTTGTTGGAGTATTATTTAACATCCTACCTTCACTCTTCAATTTTAGAACATGATACAAATGCGATTATCTTTCACATCCAGCTGCACCAGTGTATAAATTAGAGCATACTTCGAGTATAACACGTCTCATGTTTTATTTCTAGAATGAGATTCGTTCTAAAATCTGAATATACTCTTTAGTGTCGTCATAGCTCAACCTCGGGGGACGCAGAACTAATGACACAATTACAACTATAAATTATAAATTAATGTCTACGGGTATAAACTCTGTTATACTCGGTATTTCGTAAGAGGGTCACACTTGGCGGGCACACCGAACCCGCATCACGCAATCCGCGCGGAGCATGATGGAAGAATCGGGGTAGGCCAATGACGCCCTTAACATCCACCTCCGTATCTATACATTTCCATCAGGGTAACAACAGTCTTTAGGGCCCATCGCCTAGAGAAGAAAATTAGATAAATATCCCTCGAATATATATAAAAGAATATTGTGTCCTCGTTGAATTCGTATTTTACATTGGTTTTTGATAACCGCTACGTGCTTCAGTGGCTCGGAGGCAATCTGCTATATCGGAAGTTATACAATAAGAATATAATCATTCATAGTGTTCTATCACTCAGATATAGGATTCAAAACAGAGAATGGCGTCATCTAACGAGACCGGAGGTGAGGCGCAGAAGCCAAAGAAACAGCTTCTCCTAAACGCCTTCGTGATGACGACGCCCGGGCATCTGTCTCCAGGGCTCTGGAAGCACCCACGGAATCATACAGACGACTATAATAAGCTCAGCTTCTGGACGTCACTTGCGCAGCTCTTAGACAAGGGCGACTTCCATGCCATGTTTATCGCGGACACTCTGGGCCCGTATGATGTTTATAGGGGCCCAGCTAACGTAGATCCGGTGCTTGCCTCAGGCGCACAGTACCCAGTCAACGACCCGTTGTATGCCGTGCCGGCCATGGCGGCCGCGACGAAGAATCTGATTTTTGGTGTCACTGCCTCAACTACTTACGATGCGCCATATGCTTTGGCTCGGCGATTCTCGACAGTCGACCACCTAGCCGAAGGCCGGGTAGCATGGAACATTGTGACCTCGTACCTCGAAAGTGCGGCCAGAAACTTTGGACTGGAGACGCAGATCGAACACGATGAGAGGTACCGAATTGCAGAGGAGTATATGGATGTGGTCTACAAGGTAGGAACTCGATTCGTTAACGCTTTAAAGAAATACAGCCACTTACTAGTTTTGGGTTGAAGCTTTGGGAAAGCAGTTGGAGAGACGATGCCGTTATTCGGGATCGTGAAAAGGGTCAGTTTGCAGTAGCAGGGAGAGTGCGCCCGATCAATCATAAGGGCAAATACTTCCAAGTCCCGGGTCCGCATATTTCGGAGCCGTCTCCCCAGCGAACGCCGTTTCTATTCCAAGCTGGTACATCCAAAGCCGGAACAGAATTCGGAGCAAAGCATGCAGAGGCCGTGTTCATGGGCGGTCAACTTCCGGAGCTGGTGCGAAAATCGGTTGACGCGCTTCGATCCACAGCCAAGACATTCGGCAGGGACCCGAACCACATCAAAGTATTTACGGGCGTTACCATTATTGTTGACGAGACGGACGAGAAGGCGCAGGCTAAATATAAAGAGCTTCTTTCGTATGGGGACCGCGAAGGCGCGCTTGCGTTATTCGGCGGCTGGACAGGAAATGACCTTTCATCCTTTTCTGACGACGAAGATTTAGTTCTTGTCGACAAGCCTGCGATTCGGTCTTTGATTCATCGATGGTCTTCTACTGTACCCGGTACCGAGGGGCTAAAATGGACCAAAGCTCGAATTGCAGAATTCCTATCGATAGGAGGCATGATGTAAGTGAAGGTGAAGTTGATCCAAAATAGAGATAATTAGCTGACGACTTAAATTATATAGGCCCAAGATCGTAGGAAGTCCCAAAACTGTTGTGGACGAGCTGGAAAGATGGGCCGAGGTAGCGGATGTGGACGGATTCAATCTGGCGCACGTAGTGAACCCTGGCTCATTTGAGGATATCATCGAGTTTGTAATTCCCGAATTACGAAGAAGGGGACTGTTCCGAGCAGAGGCTGAGCGGCCAGGGGTCACAGCGCGGGAAGTATTTTTCGGACAGCCGCATCTTCTGAGCGACCATCCGGGCCACCAGTATAAATGGCCAATATCTTAGATGTATTGTACATGGGCGTACGTGTTTGCATGCAGTAATCTCCGATGAATATAGAAATGTAGTGCTTCATAACCAATTCGTAACTAAATCTGGTGCCGTTGCCGTTGCGTCTGTGCCGAGAACCGAATATTCCAAGCCAAGGAAATTGAAGCTTTGAAGGAAGTAAGTAAGGTACACAGGTATGAGGTAGGAGGAGTGAATATTATTCACTGGATAAAAATTGATGGATCCAATGACCTGCACCCTAACGTCGCGCAAGTTATGTAAAGGGACCAAACTCTCGGACCGTGACGTCAATTCTGTAACATGTACGAAGTACATATGTAAGTAATATAGCGCTGGTATGAACATATTAAGGGACTCGGCACCGATGTAGGTACCTCCTAAGCACCAGCCGAATTTCACTAGGTTAGGCAACTACTTTAAAACTTAGAACCCACCTAGAAGTACCTAACAACCCCTAAAGAGATTGCTTATAACGCAGGTACCGATAGCTGCTCTGTTCCGCATTTTCTCCCCAAATGAACATTTTCTTCGGCGACGACAGTGGCAGAGCGGCAGAGTGGCAGTGGCTTATTCCCGTTTTGGATTGCGTGTCCATCCACTACCCGTCGAGTCGCAATCCAAGGTCTTACATATTGTACCTAGAATAGGGCGAAAATCGCATTCGCATTCGATCGATTTAATACACTATATGACGCCGTTGTAGTCTAGCGTTTATATTATTTATTTCCTTCTTCTTTTGCTTTCTATCGTTTGTATTTTCTTACATACCTGCATAGGTACTTGAACATACCTAATATATAATTCTTCGTTGACGAAGCATATCATATATCATATCATATCATATTAATATATATACATACCTCTACATACACTCATTTACATACTTCTCTTCCCCAACCTTTAAACTCTCTCCTGACTCGCCAAAGCTACATGTAAGTCACGCACTTAAATACAATAGCTAGCAGCCACAACCCTGGATACCTCGTAACCTTATTATTGGGGGACTCGCGCCGGTTGCCGTCCAAGGTTCCTATCGATTATCCGTCCCCGAAACCTTGAATCCCTGAAGTCGTTTTGGCCGTCGCGCGAAGAATATACACGCAATGTCCTCCACCAACATCGAGATCAATGGTGGCCACGATCATATCCTACGTCCACGACCGCGGAAACCTCAACATGCTCAAGTTGCCGAGCTCGCTAAAGAACATAGCGGTGTTGCTGCTGATGGAAATGGAAATGGATACCTCGAGGCGCCCGTAGAGGACACTGGGTCAGGAATGACAAGGTGATTACTCGTTATTATTGTTATTATATAACTCGATTTGTACAAAGTATATAAAATCGACTTGAACTGACTTTCTTCTCGATATTCCAGTGGCCGTTCGACTCCTGTCCCCGAAAATGCTCCCGCGTCGACAAAAGCTCTGTCTAGTGCACGGAAACAAGTGCGAGCGGAACAGCGACGTCGTATCTTCCCAACCACCGAATTCGCCTCGCGCGTCTCTCACTTCGATCCCGAATCCGACTATCGCGACTTTCATGGCTTCTTCAACTTATTCTGGATTGGCCTGGCTATCATGGGAATCACTACCATGTTGCGCAACTATAAGGATACTGGATACCCTTTGCGCGTTCAGATATGGACTCTTTTCACCGTCAAGCTGTCCCATCTAGCCGTCGCCGATTTCTCTATGGTTGCTAGCACCGCCGTTAGCTTCTCTCTGCATAAACTATTCAGGAGTAGCCAGGGACCATTGAGGTGGAATAAGGGTGGAAGAGCTATCCAAAGCATATATCAGGTTGTGTGGCTTGCATTTTGGATCGCCATACCCTTTATTCTCAATTGGACTTGGACATCCCAAGTATTTTTCCTGCTACACACCATGGTTCTGCTCATGAAAATGCATTCCTATGCCTTCTATAACGGCCATCTTTCAGAAACGGAAAAGAGATTGCGCGCTCTCGATGAACCTCACAGCGCTTCCAAGGCCCCAGCGTACGCTTATCCTTCGGTTGATAATCCCATGGGGGAATTAGTGCACGAGGAAATGAAGGTTGATAGCGATGACGAGGATGAGAGTCTATCGCAGTTGCGCGAGGATTTGGCTCGCGAGTTGACGAGCCCCATTGGCAACGTGACATACCCGCGGAACCTATCGTGGCCAAACTACGCCGACTACCTTCTCTGCCCGACGCTGTGCTACGAGCTCGAGTACCCGCGCAAGGAGTCCATCAACTGGACTTCACTTATAGCCAAGGTAGTCGCCACCTTTGGTTGTATATTCCTGTTGACTATCATCTCGGAAGAGTTTATCTTGCCTGTGCTGCAAGAATCTACAATCCGACTGGAAAACAGCTCTTCTGTAGCCGAGACGTTGCTCATCCTCGCCGAGAACATCTCGTGGCTTCTGTTCCCCTTTATGTTGACTTTCCTGCTAGTGTTTCTCGTCATCTTTGAGTACGTTCTAGGTGCCTTTGCCGAGATCACCAAGTTCGCGGACCGTCACTTCTATAGCGACTGGTGGAACAGTACCGACTGGATGGAGTTCAGCCGTGAGTGGAACGTACCGGTGTACTCGTTTCTACGGCGCCATGTATATGCGACGTCGAAGCCCACCATCGGCCGTAGTAACGCGACAGTCATTACGTTTCTAATCTCAGCTATCGGTCACGAAATCGTCATGGCATGCATCACCAAGAAGCTTCGTGGCTACGGGTTTATTTGTCAGATGTTGCAGTTACCGATTGTTATACTGCAGCGAACAAAGTGGGTACGCGCCCATAAGACGGCGAATAATGTACTTTTCTGGTGTAGTATGATCATGGGCTTGAGCTTGGTAAGTTGTGTTATACTCTTGAGTTTCTAAAATGAGAAATACAAACTAACAGGTATAGATATGCTCACTCTACGTACTTGTTTAATTAGAATCAGCAGGTAGACGGTTTAAGTATAAAAGGGAAGAAAAACCCAAAGGTTAAAAAAAAAATAAAGGGTGTGGAATCTGTCGCATAAACTATACTACAACAAGCACTCAACCACTCAGACACACCGCCCAAATCATACCTATCACTAAGGTCATATGTACTATTATACCATCGGTCGATTTCTGCATGTTATTTCGGATATACCCCTACTCTCATATTTGTTATCGATAGGCCTGGCATAACATACCTCAGCATGTATATTAGCATGTATATTACGTTGATTTATTTTTCTGGGTTGTAGTTTAACAGTGAAAATTCAAGAAACAAGTGAGCATCATTGGTTTGCATATTAGGTTTAGCATAATTTATATATGTTAATGTTCGAGTTTAAATATCGCGTTAAAAGGAACTACCTGATAAACAGGTAGCGATCGATATACAGTGCTGTCGCCGACTCATATTCGTTACAATGGAAGTCACTTTGTTTATTCCCCCCCAAGTGTCGAACTAAGGGCCGATACAAGCCGCATAGAGTCGCAAAGTGCTAGCAAATCAAGTGTCCGCTTTCAAATTTTAGATTGTCCCTTAGCTCAAAATTTTTATTCGAATATTCGAATATTCGAATAGTACATCTAAGTACATCTATTTTGGGACAATATTCAACGACAAACGAGTGGCTTCGTTGGATTGGGTTTGCAAAAGATAGTCCGGCGTTGTCGCATTCACAACGCTGGCGTTTCGCGATGGCTTCCCAGCAAGATGGACACACGGTCTTTATGACCGAACAGGAAGCGGAGCGCATACGGAATATCGCCAAAAATAGGTTGAAGAAATGTTCCGAACTTGTTGGCCATGCGCGGGAAAAGAGAGATGCGACAGCCGCCAAACAACAAGCGACTGGCGCATCTCTTATGGCCGATATGGGCGCGCCAGACCCTGACTTGGCGCAGACGAAAGGTCGAGCAGGTTCATTCCCGGCTCTCCCCGTAGGACAAGTCTATCCGCCTTGTACCATTCCGCTCCAAGACTTAAAGCCCATTAAACTAGTCGACCTCCAAATGGAAACACATCATCGTGGCCGTCGGCTCACTGTGAAGCGTGCGAGCCCAGTGGTTCCGCTTATAGCGAGGCCGTGGACCATGGTGCAGGAAGAAGGAGAAGACGATATGGAGCGTCTAGAACTATGCTTGCATAAGTCGAGACACGGCGAAGAGGTGCTAGAATCAGCATCTACCTTTATCATAAAGGAGCCTTACTTTACGCTTACAGATCAGGGGGAACCCACGATTCGGGTTGATCATCCTTCGGATATAATCGTCTGTCGGGATGAAGTAGGCCAGGCTAAAGACGCAGCAGAAGCAGAGAAGATTGCGAAGACCTGCAAAGACAAAGGCAATGCGGCCCTCGAACAGCAGAAATTAGCCCTGGCTCACGCAAAGTATACCGATGGTCTCAAAGTCGCCAGACAAGATGTAGTGTCTGAAACTAACCCTGACTTAGCCCGGGATCTTTTTCGCAATCGAGCTCATGTTAATCTTCTTTTAAATCAACTTGATGAGGCAAAGAGTGATGCAAAGGCTGCTATTATCGGCAAGGATGACGAACGATCCAAAGACCTTGACAGCAAGGCATATTTCCGGGCTGGTTCCGCAGCATATAACCTCGGCGAATATGAGGAAGCAAAGGGTTTCTTTCAGGAGCAACTCAAGCTTACCCCTGATAACAAAACAGCGGCTGCTTATTTGAAAAACATCGAAGTGCGCTTTCGCGAGCAAAACACGGGAGCATACAACTTCAAGAAGATCAAGGCCAACCTATCCAGAGCCCGCCCACGTATCGACGCCGCAAGTTTCCTTAATAACACAAAGGTAGAGGAGAGCAAGGGACGAGGACGTGGCTTATTCGCGACCCGTGATATTCCTGCCGGGGAGATAATCATATGCGAGAAAGCGTTCTGCGTGGTTTGGGGCCATGAAAAACAGGCTATGACAGCCATGACATACGACGTGCGGGATGACAAAATCAGGGTGTCGCCTGTCGGTCTGAGCAAAGCTATCGTGCAAAAGCTTCTCAGCAATCCCTCCCAGATCGAAAAAGTAATGGATCTATATGGCGACTACGATGGAGACGGCAGCAATGTGTCCAAGACCGGAGATGGCCCTATAGTCGACACCTTCCGAGTCCACGACATCGTATCCCGTAACGCATTCGGTCCGGGCAGCCAATTCGGAGACGAAGGTATTAGTAACGCGAGTACGGGTCTCTGGATCTGGGCCGCATACATCAACCACTCATGCGTCGCCAATGCCAAGAAGGACTACGTAGGCGACTTGATGGTTCTCCGTGCTACCCGGCCCATCGCCGCCGGCGAGGAAATCTTCCACAGCTACGACGAATCGAGCGACTACGACGCGAGGCAAACAGCACTAATGACCACCTGGGGTTTCGAATGCAGCTGTCCGCTCTGCGCCGCGGAAAAGACAGATACGCCCGCCGTGCGCAAGAAGCGACGGGATCTAGCGGACGATGCAGACCAGTTCGTGACAACTGAGCATTATCTCGATGCGAAGAGACTTACTGTCTCGAAGGCGAAAAGACTTCTGAAGGCTATTGAGGACACGTATGATGAAAAGAAGTACAAGGATTTGCCTCGTTTTGCATCACGGAGGATTCAGGAGTGGCTTGCTCTAGCGAGCCAGAAACGATAACCTTGATGTACGTGGAGCTATATAGAATAAAAATTCCGACTTATCTTGATGGAGTTTATATTTGTGAAAGGCTATATTTACATTTAGCAAAGATGGTTTCACTTTACCACGACTTCGTAACTATGATAAGCTATATGAGGGCTATTCGAAGATCTAAACAGTATAAAAGTAGAGCTAGTTCAATTCTTCAATGTCCAAAGACTACAAAGAGATTTATTATTAGTCTAAAAGCCAATAGTTGTAAAACTTCATGTTCCGAGTTTGGCGCAGTAATATAGGGGTTATATCGAGTGTCTCGGATAACTCGTGACAAGTCTAACGTATTGTTTTCAGGTTATATTCACCAATACGCTCGAATCAGTATTTCTCTGTAAACTACCTAACCTAACATATAAAACCCATAACTTCAGTTCGAGGACTTAAGCAAGGTGTAACCGTCAAAATCATTCGTCAATGCATAGGCGGAGCTTCATATGGCACCTTATAGATGATTCCACCGAGAACGGCAGCTCAGAAGCTCGCGAAGAGGAATTAGCGGTGAGCCTATCGGTGAGAATAATATTTCTATTATCTATCATATCTACTAGTTGTTGTGCGTCCTTTAACCCGAATAACATCGGGAAATGGAGCCTCATTGCTGTTCCTAAGTACCTAAGCTATGTATCTACCTATTCGGTATACAACCATGAAAGCACGTGGTTTCTATTCGTGCCTTTTTACATTTAGTACCTGTAAATACTTAGCTTAGGAACGAATCATACCTACTAGCGTCCCGTACAAGCAGTACTTTAGGGAGAGACCCCGAGACCCTTCCTAAGACGTGCATAAGGACCCCATTGTATACAAAGTGGAAAGTCTCCATATTCTAATAGATACCTTCAGAGTACCGCCTTTCCTAGTTCCTTCTACGTCCCAAAGAGGCACCCCGGGTGTGCGGAGTCTCAATCTGGTCTTAGTAGAAAGACCCCTGGGAGCCGACCCCTTTTGCGGCTGTATTAGTGACATCCTATCGAATTCCACACTTGTCAAAATTTCCGACCAATAATTCCTCGACCGCCTACCATCTGTCATCATACATGAACGGGAGCTACGTCAAGCAGCAGCTCAAGGGGAACACGAACACCTGGGCAAGTATGGAACCCGGGTCTTGGTATCCTATAAGATCCGCCCTCTTGCATCATAGGCACGTGCGGCGGCGAGGCCAACAGCCCCAGCCAACGACGAGCCATCCACGTAGACGGCACCAAGGTCGGCCACGCATTTTTTTGATGGATCTATATATAGCTTGTGTTGATCACGTTCCGCCTCCGCAAATGGGGGATGGGGAATTCTGGGGGACGTGCGTCGTCTCCGCAAGGTGGCTTCGGCTTTCGTCCGACGAGATCTGTACATAATAGCGATTGTCCAGACCCTTATGTATAGCTCTTGGCTTATAGTCGTTCGACCTATCCAAGTGGAAAACTCCCGCCCAGCTGACCTATTACATCCACTTTACAATCAGGGGACCTATTGCTCCCGCGTCTGTGCTTTAAAAAAACAACTTGGTTGTCTAGTGTACGAAAAGTCGGTGTTGAATTTGCCTCTTGTTTACTTGCAGAAAAGGGATTGTAGGTTAGGACCATTCAGTCGGATAGAACCCCGGAAGCAAGTCATCGACACCGCTCATTGATTCCGTCATCATCATCATCATCATCATCTATCTTCTCCGTCTTCATCGATATCCACCGTGTTTCAACTCCTATCCTCCTCTAGTCGGTAACCCCCCGGCGGAGATAACCATGTGGCAAAGCAAACAGCCAGCTACGTAGGTTAGGTATGTATGTGTGTAAGGCATGCAGGCAATGTTACGTGTGCGAGCCGAGTCGGTATCCGACGACGTCAAAGCGCCCGTGCGGCGAACAACACAAGATGCAACGAAAAAGGAAGAATAAGAAAGAAACTAGAAAAATCAGGTCATCGAGATCTTCCGAATTGAAGACCCCCCGGGCATTCTTGAGCTCCGAGGATATCGGCTATCGGCCCTCGCTCCGGAGTCCGGTCTCCCGAGTCACCTTATAAGAGGAAAGAGTTCGGAGGGAAGCAGAAGGCCGTTAAAAAAATGTAGCGCACCTATCGGGATAATTGTTAGTAGAGGTGCGCCAGTTATTTGGACGCCTTTCTGGGCAGAAAATGGAGGGGCTTTGTAGTTGAATAGGTTCAAATTGTTATTTAATAATATTTCATAGCACTTGGTACTATGTTGACTTTCAAAAGCATCGAGTAGGCAGAACGAAAAAATAATATTAGGTTGAATTAGAAATATACCTTGTGATCTGATTAAATCCCATCATACTAAGGTTGGGTAGAATATCATACGAGAACGTACGTGAAAGAGCGGCTGAGATGGTTTGCTCTGGTATATTTGTGGAGGCCAGACAATTTTTTATTTTCATCAAATATTAAATCTTAGGAGGTAGGTACATGATTTCTAGAGGTAATAAAAACAGTAAAGAGAGACGATTAAATTCCAATACCGGGCAGGTTGCAAACTATCTTATCATTTACAGTGTCTCCTTTGGAATCTTATCATCGTAGATATTTGCGAAGACGAGACTCACAGGGGCTCTTATCATAATCTACAATACAGTATCGTATGGAAACAGATTCCGCTTA